TGATTGAGACTAAGAGTGATTGGGAGTAAGAGTGATTGGGAGTAGGAGTTAGAGTGAGAGTAGGAGTAAGAATGAGAATAAGAGTGATTGAGAGTAAGAGTGAGTAAGAGTAAGAATGAGAGTAAGAGTGATTGAGAGTAAGAGTGATTGAGAGTAAGAGTGATTGAGAGTAAGAGTGATTGGGAGTAAGAGTGATTGGGAGTAAGAGTAAGAGTGAGAGTAAGAATGAGAATAAGAGTGATTGAGAGTAAGAGTGATTGGGAGTAAGAGTAAGAGAGTAAGAGTGAGAGAGTGAGTATGAATGGGTAAGGGTGACTGAGAGTGAGTAAGAATGACAGAGTAAGAGTGACAGAGAGTAAGAGTGACAGAGTAAGAGTGACAGAGAGTAAGAGTGACAGAGAGTAAGAGTGACAGAGTAAGAGTGACAGAGAGTAAGAGTGACAGAGTAAGAGTGACAGAGAGTAAGAGTGACAGAGAGTAAGAGTGACAGAGTAAGAGTGACAGAGAGTAAGAGTGACAGAGAGTAAGAGTGACAGAGAGTAAGAGTGACAGAGTAAGAGTGACAGAGAGTAAGAATGACAGAGAGTAAGAGTGACAGAGAGTAAGAGTGACAGAGAGTAAGAGTGACAGAGAGTAAGAGTGACAGAGTAAGAGTGACAGAGTAAGAGTGACAGAGAGTAAGAGTGACAGAGAGTAAGAGTGACAGAGTAAGAGTGACAGAGAGTAAGAGTGACAGAGAGTAAGAGTGACAGAGTAAGAGTGACAGAGTGTAAGAGTGACAGTGTAAGAGTGACAGAGTAAGAGTGACAGAGAGTAAGAGTGACAGAGTAAGAGTGACAGAGAGTAAGAGTGACAGAGTAAGAGTGACAGAGTAAGAGTGACAGAGTAAGAGTGACAGAGAGTAAGAGTGACAGAGAGTAAGAGTGACAGAGAGTAAGAGTGACAGAGAGTAAGAGTGACAGAGAGTAAGAGTGACAGAGAGTAAGAGTGACAGAGAGTAAGAGTGACAGAGTAAGAGTGACAGAGTAAGAGTGACAGAGAGTAAGAGTGACAGAGAGTAAGAGTGACAGAGAGTAAGAGTGACAGAGTAAGAGTGACAGAGAGTAGGAGTGACAGTGTAAGAGTGACAGTAAGAGTGACAGAGAGTAAGAGTGACAGAGAGTAAGAGTGACAGAGTAAGAGTGACAGAGTAAGAGAGTGAGAGTGATTATGAGAGAGTTAAGAGTGTGAGGTGTGTGAGTGTAGCAGGCCAGGGAGGCAGGATGTGTGGTCACAGGCGAGGCCTAGGCCTCGTGATCTCTAATGTTGGTTTTTATATAATATGTGGGATTTTTGTCCTGTTTCAAATTATAATTATTTAGCAGGAATGTAATAAGATATTGCACAGTATTAATGTGACAATAATATATGCATTATTTCCTTGATAATCAAACTTGTTGTTCAAAGATAATATACAATCTTTGAAGGAAACATTTTGAGAGCGCAAGCTGGCAACACTATTCTGGTGGGTGAGAGAGACATATGGTTAGTTGTACTCAGACCTACAGTGGAGAAGGGTGTGTCCCAGCTGGCCGCCACCCGCCGCCACCCGCCGCCCACCACCAGCCGCCACCCGCCGCCACCCGCCACCACCAGCCGCCACCCACCACCAGCCGCCACCCGCCGCCACCCGCCGCCACCCGCCACCCACCACCCACCACCAGCCGCCACCCGCCGCCACCCGCCACCCACCACCAGCCGCCACCCGCCGCCACCCCACCACCAGCCGCCACCTGCCACCACCCACCACCAGCCGCCACCCGCCGCCACCCGCCGCCACCCGCCACCACCCCCCACCAGCCGCCACCCGCCACCACCCACCACCAGCCGCCACCCGCCACCAGCCACCGCCACCCACCACCGCCACTCACCACCCCCACCCCACCACCACCCACCACCAGCCGCCACCCGCCACCACACCACCACCAGCCGCCACCCACCACCAGCCGCCACCCGCCACACCCGCCGCCACCCACCACCCGCCCGCCACCCACCACCAGCCGCCACCCGCCGCCACCCCCCACCACCGCCACCCGCCACCACCCACCACCAGCCGCCACCCGCCACACCCACCACCACCCCACCACCCACCACCACCCACCACCCCACCACCACCCACCACCAGCCGCCACCCGCCACCACCCACCACCAGCCGCCACCCGCCACCACCCACCACCAGCCGCCACCAGCCGCCACCCGCCACCACCCACCACCAGCCGCCACCCGCCACCGCCACCCACCACCGCCACCCGCCACCCGCCACCACCCACCACCAGCCGCCACCACCCACCACCAGCCGCCACCCGCCACCAGCCACCGCCACCCGCCACCAGCCACCGCCACCCACCACCACCCGCCACCAGCCACCGCCACCCACCACCGCCACTCACCACCCGCCGCCACCAGCCGCCACCCGCCACCCACCACCGCCACCCGCCGCCACCACTTACCACCACCACCCACCACCACCAGCCGCCGCCGCCACCACCACCCACCACCACCGCCGCCACCACCCATCACCGCCGCCGCCACCACCACCCCACCACCACCGCCGCCGCCACCACCCATCACCGCCGCCGCCACCACACCCACCACCACCGCCGCCGCCACCACCCATCACCGCCGCCGCCGCCACCACCCACCACAGCCGCCGCCGACACCACCGCCACCGCCACACCACAGCCGGCACCACCACCCACCACCACCACCACCACCCACCACCGCCGCCACCACCAGCCGCCACAAGCCGCCACCGCCCGCCACCGCCCGCCACCAGCCGCCATCACCACCACCACCACCACCAGCCGCCATCACCGCCACCAGCTGCCACCACCACCAGCCGCCACCACCACCACCACCAGCCGCCATCACCGCCACCAGCTGCCACCACCACCAGCCGCCATCACCGCCACCAGCTGCCACCACCACCAGCCGCCACCACCAGCCGCCACCACCGCCACCACCACCTGCCACCAGCCGCCACCAACCGCCGCTATCAGCAGTCACCGCCCGTTGCCACAGTCGCCACCGCAAGCCGCCACCGCCAGCCGCCACCAGCCCCCCCCACCGCCGATCGTCACCACCCACCACAGCCGCCGCCGCCCGCCACCGCCCGCCACCGCCCGCCACCACCCACCACAGCCGCCACCACCCACCACCACCGCCGCCACCACCCGCCGCCACCACCCACCACCACCAGCCGCCGCCGCCACCCACCACCCGCCGCCGCCGCCACCACCAACCACCCACCACCGCCGCCCACCACCCACCACCACCAGCCGCCGCCGCCACCACCACCACCCACCACCACCGCCGCCACCACCAGCCGCCGCCACCGCCACCACCACCACCCACCACCACCGCCGCCACCACCCACCACCGCCAGCCGCCACCACTCATCACAGACCCCGCCACCGCCCGCCAGACACAGCCGCCAGTGTCCGCCACCGCCGCCACTGTCCGCCACCGCCGCCATTGTCCGCCACCGCCGTCACTGTCCGCCACCGCCGCCACTGTCCGCCACCGCCACCACTGTCCGCCCGCCGCCACCACTGTCCGCCCGCCGCCACCACTGTCCGCCCGCCGCCTCCACTGTCCGCCCGCCGCCTCCACTGTCCGCCCGCCGCCTCCACTGTCCGCCCGCCGCCGCCACTGTTCGCCCGCCGCCGCCACTGTCCGCCCGCCGCCGCCACTGTCCGCCGCCGCCTCCACTGTCCGCCCGCCGCCTCCACTGTCCGCCGCCGCCTCCACTGTCCGCCCGCCGCCTCCACTGTCCGCCCGCCGCCGCCACTGTTCGCCCGCCGCCGCCACTGTCCGCCCGCCGCCGCCACTGTCCGCCCGCCGCCACTGTCCACCACCGCCGCCACGGTCCGCCCGCCGCCACTATCCGCCACAGCCGCCACTGTCCGCCCGCCGCCACTGTCCTCCCGCCGCCACTGTCCGCCCGCCGCCGCCCTGTCCGCCCGCCTCCTTCCCACCTTGGAGAGAATGCAGGCCTGCCTCCTTCCCAGCCTGCCAGCCTGCCTCCCCCAGCCGGCCAGCCTGCCCAGCCTGCCTCCTTCCCAGCCTGCCAGCCTGCCTCCTTCCCCAGCCTGCCTCCTTCCCAGCCTGCCAGCCTGCCTCCTTCCCAGCCTGCCAGCCTGCCTCCTTCCCAGCCTGCCAGCCTGCCTCCTTCCCAGCCTGCCAGCCTGCTTCCTTCCTTCCAGCCTGCCTGCCTGCCTCCTTCCCAGCCTGCCTCCTTCCCAGCCTGCTTCCTTCCCAGCCTGCCTCCTTCCCCCTTGGAGCCTGCCTCCTTCCCAGCCTGCCTCCTTCCCAGCCTGCCACCTGCCTTCCCAGCCTGCCCCTTCCCAGCCTGCCTCCTTCCCAGCCTGCCAGCCAGCCTGCCTTCCCCGCCAGCCTGCTTCCTTCCAGCCAGCCTGCTTCCTCCCCCCTGCCATCATGCTAACGGGTAGTGTGTGTTAGGCTTATCTTCGGGAATGAGCCGGTCTCACCCCCACCACCAACAAACCACCCCCCCCCCCTACATCCCATCTCTCAAGGTCACGCGGTTCAACCGTACCAGAATAGGGGTTAGTTTTGAGGTGCTTACCTTTCTGGGTGCCTGTCCTGGTCAGATGGCAGATATAGAATGCCCCAAAATCACATGTGCATTTCTATAGACCATTGTTCCTTGTCTCTCTCCGAGGGGGGCCAGGTTCTGGCCGTGGTGCCCAGTAGGTCTAGAACTCCACCCACATCGACTGAGGCCAAAAGTTAGGACTTTCCCTATTGGCTTGGATAGCTCGGGGAGCCTCCAGGACTCGCCCAAAAAAGTGCGTTTCATTACATTCAATGCTGGTTTTATAGTACTGTATTTTTTAACTATTGTTTTCCTTATAGGTCATAGATAATCCTAATAATTCTTTTCGCATATATTATTTATTGTTTAAAAATGGTCATTATCAAAGATTGCATATTTTCAGGTTGAGGACCAGTGTTTTACTGCTCATCGAATTGTTTTGGCAGGTGTCATCCCTTATTTTAATGCCATGTTTACTCATGACATGGCTGAGAGTAAACAAAAGGAGATAACCATGCAAGGAATAGACCCTAGGTAAATAAATTTGTTTCTGTATAAGTACACTAATTTTTTTATGGTGAATGAATGCTTTACACATTTACACATAGTTATATATTTTTTCCTGTGAATGAAATTTGTGTACATTATATATAGGGTGCATATGGTAGGAGCATAATTCTAGGTGTGCTATCTTGATGTGAATTTTTAAAACAAATTTATGCTCTTAACTGTTATGAAAAATATATTTAGGTTTTTAACAAGTCCTGTGAGAAACAAGAAAACTCTAGAGTTGAATGAAATAAAATGTCAGTTTCTGGGTGAGCCCCGGAGGTTTCCTGAAGCTGTGCTGATTAAGTTCCATACTACTTGGAGTCCTTCGGTCACAGAGTTCTTTCTGCCTTCCAACGCTACACAATAAGAAGCGACAGTATTCGGCATGAGATGCCGATTCAGAAAAAGCCAAGAGAGAAAGGACAAACAACCCTGTCGGACACAGATGAAACCCGGTGGAGAGAAAGAAAAGGGCAGAAAGCCCGCCAAGTAATCTCATATTGTCGCTGAGAGGAAGATCGCAGGTGGGACACCATCAGACCAGCCACCTGATCACCATACAACTGGCGATAAACACGCATCAGAATACCAGACGTGTACTGTGGAAGAGAAGGTCAAACCAGCGAAGAACCTTACCTGTCCGACCTGCTGATAAAGGTGGAGCCGCAGAAAAACACCTGGGATCGTACACCGAGCAAGCAGCGCCTGAAATCAAGGCTGTGCTGGCCACCATGGGGCCAGAAGAATTGATCTCCCTTGGTAAGATTCCAACCAAGCCAGAACCCACAGCAAGAGATGAACTGAGGAAAAGAGGAACAGGAATCTTGACCAGTCCAGCTAAAAAGCATCCACCGCGAGCACCTTCCAGTCATGGAACGGCTCTGCATATAGAGGAAGATACAGAGACCAAGCTGACGCAAAGAGATACACATCCAGGGGTCCGTACGTCCAGCAGTGGCAAAGGAAGGAATCGGTGTCGACTGTCCACTACATGGAAAGAGGAATGATGCGAGACAGGTCGTCCGCCAGTACATTGGACAACACCCCTGAACGTGAACAGTGCAGAGCTAAACCCCGAGAACTCAGCAGTTGAGCTACCCAAAGCGACCAGCTCCAAAGAACCACGAGATCGAAGGGAGCCCCCCTGGTGGAGACAATGAATCATGAGGGGAACAATTCAAATGGAACCGGGTTGAACAATGAAGCTGAAAGTAGAGCAAGGGCCCAAGCTGAATTCAAAGACAGAGCTAGCACAGCCTGTCGACATGCAAGACAAGAGGTGAAAAACATGAAAACTGCCTCCCATAGGATCTGTGCATATAGGTTCGTAACACTCTCAATACGGGGAGTGTTCACTTTCTGGAATGAACCTCCAGAAAGATAAATCCGGAAAGCCCAAAGGCATCCGGAAATGATCCCTAGGGGAAGCCCCGCCAAACTCAAAACTCATAAAGGGAAAGGAGATACGAAAACCCTGTACCTTGCAAAAGCAGACCCTGCAAAGAGGACAAAAGAGTCCAAGGAGGATCAAACGGAGCCCAAGAGCTCCATTCGGACTCCGCCTGAGCCCCAGAACCCATGGACAAGGGCCCTGGGACTAAGCCCTCATTCGTGCCCACCGCTAGCAAAGAAATGGCGGAGTCCTGGAGAAAGGCTTCAAAAAAGGGGGAGCCGGCTGGGAAGATCCTTGAATTTGCACAAGGCGAGACCAGGCTTGGAAGAGGTATCCATATTACAGTACAACTGAGCCCATTGTGGATTTCTGGGGCCCGTAGGGTGAATGAGCCCTTCAAGAAGCCCAGGCACTGGATCAGTTATGCCGGTAACCACTGTCAATGCAGGCAACCAGACCACTAGATACCGCCAGAAAGCCCTGGGTGCAGCAGAGGAATTCCACTGCACACTAATCCTAATAAGGTGAAAGGCTAATTCTAGGTTAGCCTTATCAGGGGGAACGGCAGAACTCCCCTGCCAAAACAAGTGCACTAAAATGGGAAAAAGAAAGAAAAAACTCAGAGACCCACCTACAGCAAACAAGCAGTTCGGGAGATCTGGATCACCCTAGCTAACTGAAGACCCAGCTATGTTAGCCACTGTGTGCCCCACCACTTGACAACACTTCCCTACTCATGGCAAGACGGAATGCCGGAAGCCTCGACACACCCCAAGGGTGAAGACCACCACAAGTGAGGAAGTCCTCTAAAGGAGAGTGATTCCCGAATGCCCCAGAGAAGAATACCCTGTCCAAGCAGGGGCAGTACTTACATAGCACCTAGGGAAGGTGACCCTAGGCACATGCAGCTCCAGTACTCTAAAACTCCTGGCCATTGCACGCATTCGTGCAGGAACAGCTTCACAATGCAAATCACCAAAAAAATGGAAAACTATGGCCAGAGCGAGCCGATTTTGCAAGGTACGACATTAGCTAGTGGCTGCCTGATACACCCCTCCCCCCTCCAATGAGGGAGGAGGTGGACAAGCTAATGAGTGCAGGGTTAATTGGACAAAGTTTTGTGTGTTTGTTTTCATTGTAGAGGAGTTCTTTTGATACAGAGCACCACTTGGTTTCCGAACCCCTTGAGGACGAGACCCGTCGGTTATCGTGTAAGTTCGTAAACGAGAATGGAGGAAAATGGATAGAGAATTTTTTTTAAATTTGACAGAAAATTCTAAGGGAAAAAATTGACAGATTCATAGCATTAATGCAACAAATGAAATAAAGTTCATTGTGTAATTGCGTTCACTTACCCCCACCCTTCCTTCCCTCACTGCTTCTATCTCTCACTGCCTCTCCCCCTCACTGCATCTCCCCCTCACTGCCTCTCCCCCCTCACTGCCTCTCCCCCTCAATGCCTCACTGCCTCTCCCCTCAATGCCTCACTGCCTCTCCCCTCAATGCCTCACTGCCTCTCCCCCTCAATGCCTCACTGCCTCTCCCCCACAATGCCTCACTGCCTCTCCCCCACAATGCCTCACTGCCTCTCCCCCTCAATGCCTCAATGCCTCTCCCCCTCAATGCCTCACTGCCTCTCTCCCTCAATGCCTCACTACCTCTCCCCCCCCCCTCAATGCCTGCCATCCCTCCCTCACTGCCTTCCTCATAACATGAGAACAGCAGGCTATGGAGGAGGGGGAGCTACTAACGGGGTCGGGAACTACTAACGGGGTGGAGGCTGTGTAGAGGCGGACATGTCTGTCAGCGCCTGCTCACAGATGCCAACTGTGCATAATTCATAAATAAAACTATATTTGTTTAATTAATAACTAGGAAATCATATAACATGTTAATGATTAATAGTGTATATTAATATATGAAAATTAACATTTAGGCATAAATATTTTACAACTAAGATTAAAATTTGTAATACAATATGGGCGATAAGTTTGGCAACCATCGCCTGGTCAGCAAATCCTTCCTTACTGCCTTCCTCACCACTCCACCAACAGAGGGGGGGGGGAGAGAATTAGTGAGAGAGGAGAAATAGTGGGAGAGGAGGAGAATTAGTGAGAAAGGGAGGGAGGGGAAGGTAGGGAGAGATGCTAGGAGGGAGAATGAGAGAATTAGGGAGGGAGGGATACGCAGTCAGCCAGCCAGCCAGCCAGCCAGCCAGCCAGCCAGCCAGCCAGCCAGCCAGCCAGCCAGCCAGCCAGCCAGCCAGCCAGCCAGCCAGCCAGCCAGCCAGCCTGCCAGCCTGCCAGCCTGCCAGCCTGCCAGCCTGCCAGCCTGCCTGCCTGCCTGCCTGCCAGCCAGCCAGTCTGCCTGCCTGCCTGCCAGCCAGCCAGCCAGCCAGCCAGTCAGTCTGCCTGCCTGCCTGCCAGTCTGCCTGCCTGCCTGCCAGCCTGCCTGCCTGCCTGCCTGCCTGCCTGCCTGCCTGCCTGCCTGCCAGCCAGCCTGCCCTGCCTGCCTGCCAGCCTGCCCTGCCTGCCTGCCAGCCTGCCCTGCCTGTCTGCCAGCCTGCCCAGCCTGCCAGCCTGCCCTGCCTGCCAGCCTGCCCTGCCAGCCTGCCCTGCCAGCCTGCCTGCCTGCCAGCCTGCCTGCCTCCCAGCCAGTCTGTCTGCCAGCCTGCCTGCTAGCCTGCCTGCCTGCCTGCCAGCCAGTCTGTCTGCCAGCCTGCCTGCTAGCCTGCCTGCTAGCCTGCCTGCTAGCCTGCCTGCCAGCCTGCCAGCCTGCCAGCCTGCCAGCCTGCCTGCCAGCCTGCCTGCCAGCCTGCCTGCCTGCCAGCCTGCCTGCCTGCCTGCCTGCCTGCCTGCCTGCCTGACAGCCAGCCTCTCTGCCTGCCTGCCTGTGCCAATCCCTGCCAGCCTGCCAGCCTGCTTGCCTGCCTTTCCCTCCCTCCCTCCCTAATTCTCCCATCCCCCCCCATTACTTCCTTCCTGCCTACCTCCCCCTCCCTTTCTCACTAATTCTCCCTCTCTCTTTAATTCTCCCCCTCTCTCTAATTCTCCCCCTCTCTCTCCTACTGCCTTCCATCTAAGCTCCCCCATCCACCCACCAGTCAGCAATCACTGACGCAATGCGTGCATTTGGAGCCGACATGGTGCACAGATGTTTCTTGATTGTGCAGATATGTAAAACAAAATTACAGAATGAACTCTCCAGCCTCGTGACATATCAAAATACAGTGGTACCTCGGAATGCGAGTGTCCCTGTATGCGAGTGTTTCGGAAGACGAGCAGGATTTACTCCAAAAATATGTCTCGGAAGGCGAGGGTTACCTCGGGATGCGAGTTTGTTGATACGTGTACAGGCCGACTGGCGCATGGTGGCATGGCGATCGTGCCTCAGTTTACCAGTGACTATCCCACCTGAATTCTTCACAAGGATTTACAGTTTTTTATCGTTTTTTTGGCCATTTGAGCATAAAAGTTGTCATTATATATCTTGCCATGGGTCTCAAGAAAGCCATTGGTAAGGTTCAACCTAAGAAAATAGCTGTGAGTAGAGGCAGTAGAGGATGTCCCTTCTTGATTAAGAAAATGTG